CTCATTGTTCAATTCCCACCTATGAGTGAGAACATGCGGTGTCTGGTTTTCTGTTCTTGCGATAGTTTGCTGAGAATGATGGTTTCCAGCTGCATTCATGTCTTTAGTCTTCATCTTCTTTTCTGGGACTGCTGCACTTTGCAGGTTTTCTCTTAGAGTAGCTTCTTGGAGAGTAGCCGATAATATAATTAGGGCATGCTTCTGACGACTCCTTCTGACAGCTTCAGAAGCAGGATCAAGGCTGATGGCTCCTTGGCAAGTGGCTAAGCTGTCGTATAGGCATCTGAACACAAATAGAGTTTCCTTCAAGAATAAAATCTGGACTCCCTATCTTGGCATTTCTGGATTTCATCAGTCTGGACTCAATCTAATTTTTCAGTCTTGTCTGTGTACTACCCCCACCTTATTGATTTCCTATGCCGAACTGCCAAACTGAATGATTTGCTATTCCTAAAGGCTGTGTCACACTTTCTTGCCTCTATCTTTGTGACTGTGTGATGGCCTCTGCCTGGTATGTGAATTCTCTCTGTTAGAACCCATCCCGTCAACCCTTAGACTCAGATCAAATACTTCATCATCTAGAAAGCTTTTCTGGGTAACACTAGACAGAACTTGTCCCTCCTTCCTTTGAACTTCTACATTATTTGAGGGCATTATTCTTTCAGTACATATTCATGAAACACATCCTGCCACCTACTATTTGCTATTCACAATATCAGGCACTGGAGATACACAGCCAGATGCTATCTCCACTGCCCTCATCTTCATAGAACTTACCATACTTCACTTGTGCTGGAATTAATTCAGTATTTGTATATTTCTGAGGAATAACTTATCTTTATATCCTCCATAGTTCCTATAACATAATGGGCCCTCAATAAATACCTGAACAATTGGCCATGTGTGGTGGTTCACACCGATAATCCCAGCACTTTGGGAGGCCAAGGTGGGAGGATCAATTGATCCCAGGAGTTCAAGACCAGCCTGGGAAACAAAGTGAGACCCTGTCTCTTAAAAAAAAAAAAAAAAAAAAAAAAAAGAGTAAGCATTTTCTAACATGAAATGCAGAACAGAAATAAATAAATAAATAAATATCTGGGTAGCACTTGTTGCCTAAATAAATGGAGCTTAGAAATCAATGGACTTTGTTTCCATAGATCCAGATAAAGCATTTCTTCTTGTTTTTCTAGCTGTTCTTATAGTCAAAGCTTTCCTCATTCTAGTAAATCCAATTCTACATAAATTATTTTGTACATGTGAGTGTTTGTGGATGTGTGTAGATGTAGGGAAATACACAATAGTCATATTTTTCTTTTTTATTTAGGTAGTTTTGTCTATTTTAATATATAACTTAACGATTAAGTGAGTTTTATCTGCAGAAGGTCAAACATATCTACAGGATGCTCAGAATTTCAGATGATAGTGTTCAGCATTCGTGACAGAAAAGCCTCAGTAGACTTGGAGAGGGGATTCAAGAGCATGTTAGAGTTAAATTGGTTTGGTAAACTTAATGAGACCACTAACACTCTGGGATTTGAGACACTAAAGTGAAAGAAGTCGGATGAGTGCAAATTATTATTTTTGTATTCTGCACATATATTCTATAACAACAACAAGTGAAAAATATCCAGTTTCATTTCAGCAGAGCTGGTATTTTTTTCAATAGTAATTGCAGGGTTATTATTTCGGTTATTTAACTTTCATATTATAGAATGTAAAGAAGGCAGTGTTGGGGTTTGAAAAGATGTGCTTCTTTAATGAATGTTACTTACCATTAATGGCAAGTAGTCAGAGGCGACATTTTTGCAATTTAAAAGGGTAAGAGTGTGATTATATTTAAAAAAATATATGTGCCAAGATATGCAGATATGATGGCGCTGGGCCTAAACCCCACATTTCATGGGAAATGAATCCAATCTACAAGGACACTAGTTTCTCCTTGACGTCAAAAATTTTAGGAATAGTACATTCTGGTGTCTCTCTTTTTTTTTTCTTAGATGGATTCTCTCCTTGTCGCCCAGGCTGGAGTGCAATGGCACGATCTTGGCTCACTACAACCTCTGCCTTCTGGGTTCAAACGATTCTCCTGCCTCAGCCTCCCTAGTAGCTGGGATTATAGGTGCCTGCCACCACGCCTGGCTAATTTTTGTATTTTTAGTAGAGATGGGGTTTCACCATGTTGGCCAGGCTGGTCTCGAACTCCTGACCATGTGATCCACTTGGTGTCTTTGATTCTATTATTACATCAGAGTTTTTAGGTGGTCTGAAATTAACTCATCTTTGAGAAAGTCCTTGTTCACCCAGGTATGCTTCCTGCTAAGCCCACTGTAGCCTCCCACTCTCAAGGTGGGTGCTGATGGATTTAATGCAGCTCTGACATTGCCAGCTGAGTGAGCTTGAGTAAACTCCTTACCCTCTTTCACCCACTAATTCTGATTCTGTAAGGTAGTTTCAGTCCTACTCACTCTCTTTCCTCTGAGTAACTCTTTGCATACCAAAAACACCCATTAGTTAAGCAAGTTTATTAGTATCTATTAGAAAAGTTTAATGAAATACTGTTGGGATTCATCTGTAGTAAGAAATATTTATTGCAAAAATCAAAGCACCCAGAGGTCTGTAAGATTGGAACATTTTATTCAGTTGAGATACTATAAACAAACTGAATCAGACAGGGAAATGTATTATTTGTCAAGGGCTCTTCACAGAAGTCAACAGGAAAATGAGACACATAGAGATGTTTAACATGAAGTTAAGTTGTTTGTAATGTCTGTGGGATCTGGGAGTGAAGAAATATATGTGATTATGGAATTGATATAAATTGAGAAAGGTAAAAGATCAGATTTACGAAAGGGTATACTCCACAAGAGAAATGGGAAAGGAAAAACTAAGGATGACGATCTTTTCTACCATCTGAGATGAGTGGTGTTGAGAGGGGATTTCAGAGGCATCTTAAGAAAGGGAATAGTGGAGGTGACCAAAAATAATCTTTGAAGCCAAGTGTTTCAAATCAATTTATAAGAAGAATAACTGAAGAGTACTTATGAAGCTCTGCAAGCTAAGAGCATGGAACATCTTAACAAAAGGAGGAAAATGAGCCATAGGCTTGGTAGGGAATGAGGG